TATATCGAATACTCTAAATTGAGCCTTATTCCCCGTGGGAAGATAACTCACTCATCACAATTATTACTTGGACAACGAACCTGTACGCTTGCGACATTTTTGCTAACATAACACACCCCAAAGTATAATCAAACTCAAATGCTTTTAAAGAAACCCCCTTGCTAGATTGTATACATTCTGCTCCACTTAAAACATACTCAATAAAATCAGCATCCACATACCCTTTTCCACTGGGTCTGTATCTAGCAACTGAATACAATGACATCGCAAGTGATGGTGGCAAAGCGGCATTATCCATATATCCTGAGCTCCACTGAACTGTATTCTTCAAATCCGACCATTTTTGAGCTCCTAAAGGTATTGTACCAAACTTAATGTCCACCACCGTACTGAACTTGTGCTGGTTGACTCTTTTAAATTCTGCACGACCCTGCAAGATGTATAACTGAGACCTTTTCCATCCCTCTAATACAATTTGGGCACCTTTACAAACCTTCAAAACTCTACCTCCATCAAAGAAATCATAACCTTTTGAATCAATGATAGACAACGAGATGAGATTTTTCTTCAAATCTGAAATATGTCGAACCTGGCCAGTGTTCTAATTGTCCCATGCAAAAGCTTCAATCTGACTGTACCAATTCCAGCAAACCGACAAATGCATTATTTCCCATAACGACGACACCTTTGGAAACAGTTTCATATGTAGTAAACAAGTCCTTATTAGAAAACATATGAAACACACATGTTGAATCAAGAATCCAATCATCTTTCAATTTAGACTCAATGTCAGAAATAGTTAAGAGATCTCCATCACTTACAACGTTCTCTACGATGTCTGCTTTACCTGAAATATCTGATTGCTTCCCATATGGACTTGCAGCCAACCTTTATTTATTTAGCAATTTGTAGCAATCTTTTTTCAAGCGCCCCTTCTTCTTGCAGTAGTTACAAACCTGATTATTGAACTTAGACTTTGATCTGCCCTTTCCAGAACCACCATGAGCAACCAGGCCTTCTCCATCTCTTGCCTCAAAAATCAGATACTTCATCTTTTCTTTTGAATGCAAAGTATCATATACTTCCTTTATGGTTAGAGTATCACGACTATACAAAATCGTGTCTCTAAATGAAGAAAATGAATTTGGTAACGAATACAATAAGATCAAGGCCAAATCTTCTTCGTCATACCCTACTTCCAAAGTTTTCAAATCAGCGACAATCCCTTTAAATACAGACATGCGATCTTCCAATAATCCTCCTTTTGCCATTCGATGAGAGTATAAATGCTGTTTGAGGTTCAACTTGCTTGTCAAACTTTTAGTCATGCATAATTGCTCTAACTTCAACCATAAAGTAGCTGTTGAATTCTCCTTCAAAACGTCCTGAAGAATGATATTCGATAGATGAAGATGAATGTGAAAAACTGTCTTCTTATTCTTTCGTAATTTCTCCTCCATGGTCAAAGTTACGTGCATCCTGTCAATTCTCAGCAACGCATTATCCAAATCTAGCTGTGCGAGTACGTTATGCATCTTAACCTGCTATAGTGAAAATCCAGTGCTCCAATACAAAAGCGGAATGTCATACTTCATGGAAGCCTTCAAGAATAAAAAATCTCGAACAAATCAAACATTGCGCTTTTGTGGAACTGCTGAACCTGGCGCTCTGATACCAATTGTTGTAAAAGAACCAAGATACCAGAATTACTCTGATACCAATTGTTGTGAAACAAACCATCAGATTGAAATGTTTAAATTATGTGGCAAATAATAATAAAGTATATGATCAAGTAAAAGAATAATAAAGACAAGAATATGGTAGAGAAATTAAGAGATTTTATTGATTCAAGAATAATGGAGAAGAGAGAAAAAATTATACTAGATCATATAATTCTAGTAATCTATTTTCTCACACTTTTTAAATTATATAGAAGAGCCTAGTACTTATAGGGAATATGTAAGAGACATCCAAACCTTTTTGGTAGAGTTGTTGATGAAGTAAGATGCCAAAAAACCAAGTTCAAAATGAAGTAGGAGAGAAAACAGAAAAAACCCGAACAGCACAGGTGGTACCGAGGTGCTCGGAGCCCACTTTCGAGCACCTCGGCACCCTCCGAGCACCTTGGTACCGGGTAATCTTCCGAATTTTTTTTAAATTGTTTTCTCCATCTAAATTCTTCTTCAAGTCCAATATTATATTTTCAATTTCCAATGAACCTCCAAAATAAAATTTCAACTTAACATAAGACTTTAATAGCATTTCAAACTGAATTCTCCTTGACGGGCACTTCAATTAGAATTCTTCAATATTTCAAATACTTCAACAGAGAATTCGATTCACACCCAAATTCTAACAGTAATGAAAGGCTTTGGTTCAAAATTATATTTTATAATTCTAACCAATTGAATCATTGAACAAGAATGGTGCATAATTTAAAGGAAATGAAAACTAAGTTCTTACAGCATGCAGGCAAGAAGGGCCAAAGGAAGCTGAGGAGAAAACATAGGGAAATTGCCGGTTACATTCTTTTTTTTCACTTAAAAATGGTAATGTTCAGACTAATTTACTTAAAATAACGTTCATTGACTTTTCAACTTAGCAAACATGCTCTATGAATCAGTCCATGAATGTTAAGTGGGGCAAGTCGCTCCTCAACTCGTCAAAAAGAGTAAAATAATATATTTAGATAAGTTCGTGGGGCGAGCCAACTCGTGTCATTTAATACCCCACATTAGTGTTAATAGATATTAAATCTCTATTTGGTGGGGATTAAAATCAGATGATTATTAGATTTTTTTTTAAAAATTGATAAAATAAGTGGTCAAAAGGTTGTAGGTCCCATAAAATTTGTGGTTATAAATGATTATTGAATTTGACTTAAATTAAAATTTGGTAAAATTAAAGATGGTTTGTCTAGAATTCTCAGAACCACAAGAAACTATTTGCTGTTAATAAAAATTATTTATAATACTTTTTTTTACATAAAATGAAAGTTCACGAAATTATATAAATCGGAGGTTTCCTACCACCCCTATATATCGCAACTTCCTTAGATCAGTAGGACGTAGGACATAATGACTTCTCAAAAGGTTGACGAGGTATTAGCTTAGTTTCCCAAAGATAGCTAAAGAGAAAAGAAGAGAGGTACACTAAACTGATCATCTTGCTGCAAGAATTTTTTGCTTCAAATTATTTCGATGACCTATATTTTCTTCCACAATATTGTAACGACAACTGAATTTTAAGAAAATGATAGTTATTTGTTATGAGAATTCTTGATGTTGGGGTTGTGTGAGTCTTGAAAATAGACTCGGATCCTAGGAGCATAAAAACCAAGGATCAACTCATTTTGAAAATAGACTTGAACCCAATCAATATTCGACTAAACATTTTGCGAATCTCGTTTAAATACTTTCATGGCTTTCGTTTGATAAGAGTGAATTATACTGTACAATACTAAGAAAACTAAAGTTTATATGATGTATTGTAGTGGAACAACATATATGCTATCATTTTATTTTCTATACGAATTTCGTTGGTTCAAAATTAATGAAACCAATCCCAAGAACTAGATTAGCAGCCATACATATGCTCCCACTAAATTATCTTCAACCTCTCCTTTTACTTATTTTTTGATTTGGCAAAACTGTAAGATGCCATAGTTTGTAAGTTAAAAATTAAAATAAATAAAAATAATAATCAAGTTGACACATCGCAAGGTGATATCTGTGGAATTAATATAAAGATAGTGCTAACTGTCATAATTTACTAATGTGGAGCTGAAGTTGTTATAACACTATTTTCATTACAGCCAATACATATGCCATGTTATCTAAAGTATCATTTTATTATCGATAGTATATGCTATGATACATGATATAATCTACATATTGTATCTTGAAAAAGTTTGAGTTGATATTATTCACGCTGTCGCCATTAATATTTGGAAGGATCAAATGGACCCCAATTTACTTTGTCTGTGAATGGAGATATTATGTTATATTATTAGTTGATTTAGTCCATATTACAGAGATGCTGTTGAGATTTTTATAAATTATATGTAATATCTACCTTTCAAGGCAATCTGTAAACCCTCACACAGGTCGCACAAATATTTTCAAATCGTTTCGTAAGCCCTCATATTGACCTACTCAACATCGATTATTCAATTAGATTGAACTTATTTGATCAAGCAATCTTTTCTTAGGCTTGTAGCTTGGTCCATTAGCCTACTTGGGGTGCGTGTGTGTGCGCGTGTGTGAAGGGGGGATGGTGAAGATTCTGTTGGCCATGTCTCTTTGCAAAAATAGAGGTCAACAGAACTAACTAATAAAACATTAAACTAAATAAGTCAAACAATGCCCTAACAAGACAGATGCACATAGCATTATATTAAAAAACAACTAACAAGTAGAAATGAAATTAATGAAATGTATGTTACAGTTCATTTTAAGATCAAAATGAACATCTCAAAAAATTTTGACCCCAACCTCACCCCAGAGGAAAAAGAAACAAAATAAACATAAAGAGCTATCATACATTGAGAGCGCGTCTGAGATTGGAATACAAATTTATCAACAAAATTAGCTCCACAGCACTTGGTGGCGCGCACCCACAATTCGACTACGGCTCCTGGTTCAGCATGGTATGTGACCTGGGCAATAATGTATGAGATATGTGCCCCTCTTTTCGAAGCTTTTGTAGAGAAAATGAGGACAAGCCCCAGATTAGCTTACATGCTTTGGCATTCTTATTTCTTCTCTGGACTCTCATCGGGTTAATGTTGCACCATGAACTGAAGAACAAGGATCTGAAGCATGCATATATCTAAATGCAACAGCGGCAGATGAGCTCAGGTTGCAATGCCAAGAAGTACTAGAGTCGACCTGCCACAAGTGCATACTCATTAAGTTCATGAAAACAACACAAAACAAAAATCAGGCTGGCTATGATTAAGGAGGGGCCCCAACAATTTGCTAACAGTAAAGTATTTTTAATTTTCCAAGGGAAAGTATTATCAGCTAGGCTGCAAAAGCATTGTTACAAACCCATTTAAGCACAAAATCTGCTGAAAAAGATGAGATTTTGTCATGTAACTCAATAGAACAAGTAGAGTTATTGTAAATTCAGTAAACTGGTAACACATGCAAATGCAACTGAAGTAATAATATATTGTATTCCAAACCACCCCAAGAGCGCAAGCACACAAACTCCCATCTGAAGTCTAAAACAAGTAAAGGCACTTCTTCTATAGATATCTGTGACTATATTAAGTTTTTACTCCTGAAGTCTGTAAAATAAGCAAAGACCCTTCTGATGCTAGTTTCTGTGACCACAAATAATTATTGCCATTCAAATAATTAGCTATCTAAGTAAAACAAAATTTCCCCACTCATATCCCACCACAAAGAAAAGATAAAACAAGAATTCCAAAAAAGGGAAATGAAGAATAAGACATAAAACATAATAGAAACAAAAAGCATGTCCACAACGTGCAGCCATTTGTGCCAACACTACTGTCATCAAGGCCACTACCACAAGTCATGGCTGCCAAAATAACGCCACCTCTTTACCAATATGAAACAAATACTGTCATCCGAAAAAAAATAAAAAAACTAGCAGTTATCTTCCCATAAATCTCGTTCCCAGCTTTTCCCTTTTCCCTCAAATACTCCGCCACTAATTTATAGTACTACCATTATTTGTCAGTCACAATAACTGAGGGCATTATTTAAGCAACCATCAGTAGCAGCACTACATTCCAAAAACTCCCCCACCTGCCTGCAAATATCAGAAGTGACATCTGCCATCACTAACACCACAAATTCCAGGAAAACAAAGAACACGCAAGCGGAAATGTTGACATGTGGAAAGATGGATATTTTTCTATCTGATGGCCATGCTTTCGTGTGTAGTGTCCAGTAGTAGTGGTAGTCTTCTTAGGATATGATTGAGGCGGAGAGAGAGAGAGAGAGAAGGATCAAGAACAGAATCGAAGAAAAGAATGACTTAGAATTTAGGCTGAATGATTTATTACATAAATAATCACTTTGATAGGCCCCCAATCAAATATACTTATTCAGTAGGAGGAAGGAGAGAAGGNATGTAATGAACTACACTAGTGATCATAATTAAAGATTTCTACTTTAATTTTAATCACAGACAAATTCAGATTATCCACTTTAAATATTATCCTCATGTACATAACGCTTATGTACAATATTTAAAGTTACATATAAATAATCAAGGGATTTTTGATATTTATAAAACATCTAATCATGCATACAAAAGATATTGAAATAATTTCACAAATATCATTAAACATCATCAAATGTTTATAGCTCATTTATTAATGGGCACATATCCCAACAATAAAAATACTTGCCCTAAAGTACATGAGATATATCTCTAAGTCCCATTCCCTCAAGGTGTTGCTCAAAGCTACGAGTTGGCAGTGTTTTTTGTAAACGAATTAGCTACATTGTTTGTAGATGCGATCTTCTATGTTGAAACGTCTTCTCTTTGGACAATTTCTCTCTCTAAGTGAAATTTCCTCTCTGTATGCTTTCCTCTTTGGTGGTTCCTTGGTTCTTCGCTTATAAATAGAATAATAATAGATAGTAGGAGCATGCTTTTCAAGTGTGGAGTGAGATTAGGAGAGCAATAGTCCTCTCAAAAGGCTACATAACATTTCTTTCTTTTTTTGTAATATTTTATTCAATCAATATAACCTCAGTTCATTAGTCTTCATTATCTGTTATTTCTGTCACATTTTATGTTCCATCACTTCCTATGATGCACCGACACAGACACGTATGTCCGATACATCGACATGCGATTTTTTAAAAAATTACTCAACATGTTGCCTACACGATAATTAAGTTCTTTAAAATTCTTCAATTATATAGTATAAATTTAGTTTTATACTTAACATTAATTTTTTTTTTTAAATCTTTTAAATACGAGTACATATTAGTTATTTATAAATGAATTTGAGTTAAAAATATACAAACTATGTTTGGCCCCATTTTTTTCAAATCTCATTTTTAACTGCACATTCTCCTATAAAATAATTTTATACGAAACCCAAAATTTCTCCTTATTTTTAAATCACGCATTTTACAACAAAATACTATTCTAAAATGCATTTTAACCCAAAAATGGAGCTCAAGCAAGGGCATAATATTTCTAATAAGAAAATAAAAATGACCATGGTATAGTGGCCAAGGAATGTTGGTGGCCGACACGTGTCGGACACGGACACGGTACCTTAGTTGAAGTATATGTGCAATATAAATCACTCCTATATATAGGAGTAGAATCCTATCAATAGAAAGATAAGAAAAAATGAAAGATTTAAAATCCTATTACTTCAAGAAAAAATAGTAATTCCCAAGTAGACTAGGATATAAGCTAGAAGGAAATATTTCCATGATTCCTATTCTAACTTTTCTATTCCAACTCTCCCCTTCAAGTTGGTGTATCGCTACGTGCCTAAATTGGATGGTGGCATATAGATTGGCCCACTACTCTGGTCGGAACTCCAAGTAGTAAATGCCTCCCCCTCTCTACCAATTCCAATCGTCATTTTGGTTAGATTATCTTGTATGAGGGGTTACTTAGATACATGAGCAACAGAGGACAGAGAGGCATCAATGATTTTTCAGCTTGCTTATTTTTTAACTGAGTAACCATGTAGTTTTCAATGAACATCAAATGTGTGTAGCGCCGTCACAATAGATGCAAGCCCGATAGAAAGGGCTGAAGTAGCTAATTTTGAGTTATTCTTCTAGATAACCAAAAATTAAGCCTCAGAAACAACCTCTGTAACCATAGTAACTTGCCAATATAATTCATGACAAACAAATAAGTAGGTCTCTTCCAGACTTGGACAGGAGATGTAGCCAAAACATTGTACAAACTCTGTTCATGACCTATAACAAACATATATACCTGATCACCAAAAATACTCTGTCAAAATATCAGCATTAAGCCTCCAATAATCAAGTTCCAAAAATATGGATTAAGTTCATTGTAGAATTTGGCCGACCATCTTGACGCAACTGAAATGGTTTCTTCATCAATTAATATACCTGTAAAGAGTTTTATTGCATCCTAAAAATCTTTAGCCCTGTGGCACTGAACAAAATTCAGCATCAGGTTGTTAATCATGGTACTTATGAGCCAAGACTTGACTAAAAGTCTTCAACAGTCATCATAACTCGGATTATTCTCCGACGGTGTAACCTCGAATCCTGTGATGTAGCCCGTTTCCTTCTGACCCGCAATATGCATCTCTAGAATGTTAGACCGCACATGGTAATTAGCTTCATCCAATCTAATATGAATAGGTTATGTAATGTCATGAATAATCAAAGAAGAAACATTCATTCTTCTTGACAGAATCAGTCTTATCACTTTTATCAGCTATTGACGGCAACTTAATGAAACAAACTGAAGAATATCAACTGAGGAAGATCATTAATTTGCCAGACCTCTAGGGCTTACTAGATGGCTGGCTCAACCAAGATTACGTGACGAGAAAGGTCTCTAAAGGTATCTAAAAGTTGTAAAAATCGATCAAACAAAACACTGAAGGGCATAGAAGGAGCTAACTAGCTCCAATCTAAAAGTTTCACGACCAAATTTAACATTTCAAAATGTTCAAGGACTAATATGTAATATTCTGAAATTTCAGGGAGCACCACCTTTCATATATTTCCCCAGAATCCGAATAGCACTATAACATCCGGAAACAACTTAGGTAGCTGTAAAAATAGAATTTAACGGATAGAAGTTTTTTTTTTTTGGAAACCTAATTAAATGTTAACCAATAGTGTAGGACCAGAGTAATTCCTTCTACACGTGCGAATTTTTCCTTGGCTAAATCTTAGTAATATGATTGCATGATTGATTTAAATATTGTATGTCAATTAACCTAATTAATTGGTTAATTATTATAATTAGAGAAATTTTATTCATTAAAATTAGAAACATTATTTATGCTTGTATAATTAGCAATCTAATATTTTATATGGTACGTTAGAATATTTATTTTTACATAATTTAAATCAAATGTTTAATTATATGGCAATAACTTATTAGTAGCAATTATATATTTACTAATATAGTTAATTGGGTAATTAGTTGAGTGATTGATTACATTTTATACGGGAAAATGTGTGATATTAATAAGGGAATGAATGTTTGTACCAAAATAGGTAATAGAGTCAAACTTTAGAGACCCCTATTTATACATCCTCATATCACTTATACTCACACACAACTAAACTTGTACTTTAAGCCTTCCTTTCTTTTAACTCATTGTCTACATACACTTTGACATTACAAAGTTTAGTATGCACTATGTCCAAGGAATTTTGGAGTGAAAGTCTAACAAGACGATTTCCTCAATATATTTTGATCTTCTTCCATACAACTGTAAGTGTAATAGTACGAATTGTTTTAAATTACGGAAATTTATGTTATTAATATGATGATATGGAAATCCAAGTTATGATTACGATAGGGTTCGATATATGTAAGTTCAAAGGACCGAAATTTAGTAGCACTACACAAGGGAATTATAGCCACGAACTTTGGATTTTAATTTCCCATGTCTCCATGTGTATGTTATGATATTCCATATTTAAATATGAGATGAAATTCGTTATTACTCATTTACTAAGATTTATGTTAATTTTTTATACGTAACTAAAAAGGTGAGTACGAGGCGATCGGATGTGGATTGTGCTTGCGTAGGTGAAAAATGAAGAATAAATTATGTAGTTAAGGATTTTAATAATGTTCATCTATATTTCTCTTAAAACTAATTTTAAATCCTCGCATGTTAAGAAAACATTATCCTTTTTCTTTTGTTTATGAAAGTACTTTTTTATGGTACGTGTTTCATGATTCCAAAGGTAAAATTTGGATCGTTACAATATGGTGTCAAAGCGAGTTTACGATTCTGTAGACTAATTTTTTTTTTTTTTAAATTCATTTTTTAGAAAAACACTATTCATAGAAACATTTTTTTTAAAAAAAAAGATATATATTATATATTTTTAATTACAGAAAAAGGTTTTTATAAATAAATAAAAATAGATTGAAGTTTTATTACATCACCACTATGCAATGCCAATTTCCAAGCTAAATTAGGTAGAAAGATGTGTAACTGCATTATTTAATATTATTTTTATATGATGACGACTATATTTAACCATTTTCAATTTGCTTACCAATGTTCCGAGCGTGCTAGTTTTTGAAAACTTAACCATGTTCATGTATGATTATGTAAATACATTCAAACAAATTAGAATTTTGTTTAATTATGAAAATGTACTTATTTATGTGCAAGTTCCTCTTTATATGTGCCTAATTACAGAAATTTCCAAATTTTTGAAAGTGTACATTTATGAAAGTTTAAATTTCAAAAAATCTCTAGTTATGAAAATGACAATTTTATGATAATGTGACTTTAGACAATTTGATACGTTAAGGAACGTATCAACCTATAAAGATAGTCGACCTTAGAGAATTTCTCGATCAAATAATAGTCTAATGAAAAAAAATTATACATCTAAATACTTCTATTTCCTTATTGTTCGAGTTTTCTTGGCTTGTGTATTTGCAAAACTGAATGGCTTTATCAAAAAGACCTAAACTATCTAAGGAGGGCTTAGGATTTAAGAGGTTCACTTGTGAGCCCCCCTCCTCACCTAGGAACCACTCAATCGAACGTTATTCAGACCAATAAAACAAAAAAATAGTTCAAGACTACTCCAAATTTAATAAGATTTTCCAATCCATTATCACAAACTTATAAGAATATACGACTTCATAAAAAAGTGTAGTATTAATAAGGGAATGAGTGTTTGTACCAAAATAGGTAATAGAGTCGAACCTCAGAGACCCCCATTTATACGCTCTCATATCACTTACACTCACACATAACTAAACTTGTACTTTACAACTTCCTTTCTTTTAACTCATTTTCTACATACACTTTTATATTACAAAGTTTAGTATACATGGTGTCCAAGGAATTTTGGAGTGAAAGTTAACAAAACGATTTCAACGATTTACTTTGATCTTCCATACAACTGTAAGTGAAGTAGTACGAATTGTTCTTTCATTATTTATAGTACGGAAATTTATGTTATGAATATGATGATAAGGAAGTCAAAATTATAATTATGATAAGGGTCCTATATGTGTAAGTTCAAATGACCGGAGTTTAGCAACGCTACGCACGGGAATGATAGCCACGAAATTCGGATTTTAATTCCCTGTGTCTCCATATGTATGTTATGATTTCCCTTATTTAAACATGAGATGAAATCTCTTTATTACTCATTTATTGAGATTCATGTCTCATATGCATGTGTTAAAATTTTTATAGGTAACTAAAAAGGTGGGTTCGAGACGATCGGAGGTGGATTGTGCTTGCGTGGGTGAAAAATGAAGAATAAATTATGTAGTTAAAGATTTTAATAATGTTCATTGTATTTCTAGATTGTGCTTGCGTGGGGTGAAAAATAAAGAATAAATTATGTAGTTAAAGATTTTAATAAAGTTCATTGTATTTCTCTTAAAACTAATTTTAAATCCTTGCATATTAAGAAAACATTATCCTTTTTTCCTTTTGTTTATGAAATTACTCTTTTCCGGTACATGTATAATGATTCCAAAGGTAAAATTTGGGTCGGTACAAGCACTATGCAATATTCTGGAACTTCAGTAACCAACTTACACTATTAGAAAAATTTCAAGGACAACCTTCAGAAAATAAACTTAAGGATCATAATTGAGAAAGCCAAAATGAGAATCAAACTCTCCCAACATACAGCTGATCCACACCCAACCTAAACAGATGCCACCAACCAACCATAGATGTCCCTAGAATGATTTAACTAGTGGTAAAACAATGTAAAAGATCTTGGCAGCAAGAAAGAAATTGCAAATCAGTTGCGAACTTCTCCAGAATGGTCGTAAGGCTAGTAGACCTCGTTGGAATGGTCACGACTTCACCAAGATGTTGCAAGAATGAGGCAAGGCAATAGTAGAAATTTCGCACAACCCAAAGAGAGCCGTCGGGCTTTGTCTAAGAAGATTAGAGGTCACAGGTAAGTTTCTCTGATCGGGGTGGTCTTTGGAGTGGTTGCAAATGGTATGTTTTATGGTGTTGATATCGTATGTTTTATGGTTTTGATATGGATTCTAGGGTTTCTTATTTTGGTAACTAGAGCTCAACAATTTATACCATAATTTTCAGACCCAATTTCAAGTAAAACCATAGTTTTAGAGAGAGGTGTGGGCAAGGATCATCGGAGCAATTTAAAGGGAGAAGGTAAAAGGAACAATATAGAGGTAGATGTTCACCGAAGTGATTTAGAGGTAGAGGGTCATCAGAGATAAAGGTTCGCTGGAGGATTAAGCCTGAAAAAATAATTTGATTGTGCGTTTAACTTAAGACAGATTAAACCTGCTCTAATACCAACTTAAAATTAAGGCTCAATGATTTATTACATACTCAATTAATCTTATATATGAGTACAATCCTAACAACAGAAGGAAAAGTAAAAGGAAAGAATATTAAATCCTTTTACTAAAAAGAAAAGTAGTAATTCCTAACTACACTAGTATATAAGCTAGAATGAAATATTTCCATAATTCCTATTCTTGACTTTTCCATTCCAACTGGATGTAGCTTGGGCATGAGAAAGAAAAAGGGAAGTTGAATTTGCAGTTGAGGTGGGGTGGGGTGGGGTGGGACCAAATAATTGGGAGCAAGCGAAAGCTGAGGTAGGTGCATACTGAGTGGAGAAGAGGATAGATTCCTAATTTTGGTTCAGACTTTTTAACTTTTCCCATGATTTTTCCTTTTTCTCCTCTTTCCCTCTCTAACCCTATATTTATCGGTCTCTTTTGAATTAAAATAGTGATTCCCAGTTTTACCCTTCAACTTACAGATCATGCTGACACGGGGTCCTTACTTCCCAAACTTCAGAAGGAAATTCAGAATTTAAGCCCAAATTTATGAGGAGTTAAAAAGGAATTTTCACCACTTTAAGTGTACGGTCATTTAGATCTCAAAACCTTCTGAGATCTAGCATAAAATCTAATACATGATGCAGAAATCCATTGTTTAACCCATTTTGTACGCTACATAGAAAAGGCATCATTTGTTAGAAAACTGCATCAACTCTTATTTGCTATGCCTGTTGCATGGCATATTTTTCTATAAACAAACTGGTATCTCATGAAACATTTTATAGCCAGTTAGTCCAGTAAATAATAGAATCTTAGAGCTAATAAACCGACATGGAGCAAAAGTCAAGTTGATATTTGGGGACACGCCCTTTTAACAAACTACCTAAGAATAAACAATGCAGACCTTCAGTACCCATGATTTCCAACATTCGACGAATCAATGAGATCGGCTTGTTATTGCTGAAATTCTTCTAGTTATCATCCCTTTTCCCCCCATGGTTTTTAAAACTCATTTGATTAGCAACACTTCTTCACTAATTTATTGTCACCTAAGGGAAAAATTCATGCAGGTAAATTTCACCAATATGCTAACATTGCTTCAATGTAATCTGGAATTCAACAAATTTCCTTCGCACTGAACAGAAGTCAATGAGATGCAAGATGATCTTACCTTGGGAGTGAGGATCTAACATTAGATTGGTTCACAAAAGCCGACAGAGGACTGCGAAGATTAGAATATTTGTTCAGAGCATTTTCAAGCTGTGGTGATGGCAACTGCAAGCATGTGTCAAATGTTAACAGCCAACAAAGAAAGCCCAAAAGGACAAGGGAATTACATCCATATGCACATTGATAATACAATACCTGTAACAATACACTGAATGAATGTGGCTGCGTTTGCGAGATACATTTCAAGAATCCAACCCATAATTTTGGCATTCGCCATACCTGTGGACAAGATATTAGAAAGAGCGGGTTGTATTTCGAAACTTACACAATACGCAATAATTTTAAACCATGATATACTGGCTAAAAATTCAATAGAGGAAATAACCTGATTCCAGTTTTCATTAACATACCTGTTTGTTCACAAGTTTGGACAGTATTTCCATGACAAAATGTACCTGGAATCCAAGTAAAACTGTTACTAACAGTGCTAGGTCTTCTGCACGGCAATAATTCAATAAATTAAGGCACTAGTGAAACGACAGGAACTATATGCATACATTACATACTACCAGTGAAAAGCTAGAGATAACATACTCTACTATATATGCTTCCAAAATTGAAATAGAAAAAGCATTTTTAAACTGTAAACTAAACTGTGGCAAACATTTTCTAAAGATTAGGCACCACTTGCTAGAAGACAAATTGTTGGTTGTTCTCGAAATAGTTCACGTTTGCGATACAGGTTGAAAGTTTTGTTGGCCACAGGTATGGTGAATGCCAAAATTATAAGAGAAAAAAGATCATTATAAGCACAAATCAATGAAAAATGAGTTTCTTATTATTAGTCAAGTACCAGTCTTGTAACTGGTTTTACATCCTTCACTTCATATAATCTGGTCTTCCATTATTTCACAAGGATATTATTAAGCATTTATGTGGACAACTGGTGCATGACTTTTCAAGCGTCCTTTACATTTAATTTAAGTTGATATCCATAGCTGAACATCAGTTTTAAGATCATTTATGTTCTGCATAACAGATTTTTGGAGAGAAATTATAGGGGCAAATATGGGGTTATGGAGGGGGATGATGCTCAGTCGAGGGTCGTGGTTCATATGGGGTGAGTTTGTGGCGGTGTATTAGGTGAGTGTGGAGCGATTTTCGGGATAGATTGAATTTTGTGGTGGGGAATGGTAATACTATTAGTTTTTGGGATGATCGTTGGTGTGGAGAACATCCGCTTAGGGAGGGTTTTCCCTCTCTGTATCGTATTGCCGTTGAGCCGACTACTATGGTGAATGAAGTGTTAGATATACATAACAGATTACCTAGTTGGAACATCGTTTTTGGGCAGGGTTTGCAAAACTGGGAAGTGGATGATTATGCACTGCTCCTGACAACTTTGTATGAGGTGCACATGAGGAATGGTGAGGGTGATCGAAACGGTAGGTTGACACGGAACGGTACATTTTCAGTCGACACTTATTTTAGATCCTTATTGGGATCTGTGGAGAGTCCATTTCCTTGGANACCACTTGTTCCTTCATTATGTTGCTGCTCGTTTATTATGGAACAATATTCTGGCATCGCAACTCATGGATTGAGTGTTGTCAAGAAGTATGGAAGACGTGTTAAAGACATGGAGGAGCAAGTTTCGAGATAAGGATAGCAATTTGTACGGAACTTTATTCCGAGTTGCATTGTATGGTGTGTATGTAGAGAGAAAGAAACAGCCGCTGTTTTAAAGATTTGGGGCCCGTTTGATTCTCATTATTGTAGAATGAGAATGAAAAATATAACTGTTATTGGGTCCTACACAAGAAATAGAAATTCAAAATATCAGGCTTGATATGATAGAAAACGATCATATTTTTCATTTTTATGAATGAAAAATGAGAAACAAACGGAGACTTAACACGGTCAACAGAGCAGATTAGGGAATTATTTTGTTTAACATTGTATACTTGGTTTAATGATGCGGCTACTAGGCATATAGATGGGCTGCCCAATTCATGTTGTTACTTTCTGATTTAAAGCAATAATACACTTCCTGTGTATTATGCATTGATTAATAAAATATTTGATTATCTTTCAAAAAAAAAAAACATAACAGATTTTGTAGCAGTAATAAGGAACCCAATTAACAATATTTCTGGCTATGATACCACACAAATTTTCATAAGTACTGGTTTGCATTATGCCTATTGGTATGCTACAAGAAGGCTTTATTCTGAAATCCATAATTCATTCAAATCTAGAACTGTATCTTTCTAGTAAAAGAAGTGAATGTTGTTCACAAGTCCCGAAGGCTTGAAATTTTTGTCAATAAAATATATGAAATATCATGTTGCTCAGTTAAGAAAATATGGTATTTTAGTTCTCTTTCACACCAGATGAACCTAACATTTCATGAAGGAATTGATAATTAATAATTTAGCCATCACAAAAATTCTAAATACAGTTCTGAGTATAACTTCCCAATTGCCTGATATCAATTTAATAGGTGATGTATCACCTTGCGGTTTAATGTACCGTGTGGGACCCAAAAAACCATGAACAAATAAGTAACTGCAACCAGACAAAAGAAAAAATCCAGAGCCGCATCAAATTATAATTAGCAGAGCCAACTGCATTTACCAGTGTTGGAAATGCATCAATTGCTTGGATTACAGTTCTCATGAATAGTAGTGGGAGAGGAGTTTGATCAACCTTGAAAGTGAAACAAAATGAGCAAGGTGGATCAAGAGATGTTCAGATATTGATACAGAGAATCTATGCATACCATCTGGTTTAAGGCCTTTGCCAGGACCTGCTGTGTAAAAACAGTCCGCTGTTCAAAACAAGCCGAGCAAGCATCTGTGATCTGAAAATTACTCACATTATAGCATTAAAATACAAACAAGGTTGACATGTGTTACAAATTTAAGCTTCAATCACTGGAGAAAGTTCAATGCAGTAATATAGTGACAACTATATGAAATGGCTTAGTTAATAGTTTTAAGTCTAACAAGAAATACAGCAGGAATCAAACCCCATACAAGATGCGTTCAGGAATAGCCACCAGGCCCATCACAATGTTTTTAGCACAAATTTCAAGCTACATAAGGTAGCACCATAAATCCATTTGAGACTACTTGATAAATCCATAAGGGGTATTGAACTTTAAAGCAGTGATAAGAGTTCCCATGATTTTCAGTACATTGATTCACATCTTGCTTTATGTCTAGAAGATTCAAAACTCCAGTGTCACCTTCTAAAAACAAATATATTACCAGAAGAAGCTTAAATAGATACCTTTTTGAGTGGAAGACCATCTCTATCAGGAATGATGTCATGAATAGCTACCAAGACTTCTGCTGGTGTCAGTGCTGGACCTGTATGAGAAGAACCCTGCAACAAAATTAAAACAAAAAGAAATTAAATCAAATAAACTACACACTGTAATCTTAGAAACTTGTAAGAAAAACAGTTAGAATCTAATTAAAAATCAATACAACTAACTCTTCATATAAAATGACTAACTAGATATTGCATATTTCATAGAGAGTACCTGCCAGTCAGATGTAAATGGAAATAATCTCTCAACAGATCAAGACAAAAATAAAAAGACGCAGTCATTAAAATCCAAACTAATCTTACAGAAGAGTCGGCCAAACTCCCAGCATCAGTATAAAACAGAAAGATTATTCCATGAAAACATATGTATCTAGGCAAGTCATCGCTGTTACTGATAATTCCATGTTAACATAAATTCTTTTGCACCAGCAATTGATAAAACACACCACCATAGCAAGACAAGGAAACTTAAAAGAATAGACATCTTTAATTTCAAAGGAAACTAAGGACCTTTATTTTCTCTGGAATCTGATTGTAATAAAACAAATTTTTTTTTCCTTTTTTTTTTAACTTTTTGGCAATAGAAACAAATTTTATAACCAATTGTGGAAAAAAATATCATTTTAATGTACAATTTCCATGTAAAACAAAGTCAAATGAATAGAAAATTTAAAAATTTTTCGGGTGGAAAATTATACTAATCAAACACACTTGAAATCATTTTCCCTACAAAACATTTTCTAG